GGTAGCTTATCTGTTAGCTAACAATTGTTTGTTGAACAACCAGACAAAACAAAAACAGGATATAAAATGTGAGGTTTGCCGACTAAGTGAGTCTATCAGAATCGTCGCGCGGTCACGACTATCGTGTGGGAGTGGAAAAACTCTCTGAGACAAGCTTTCCATTTTTTAACCCGTTTGTAAAACCGTTTATTATATACACAACGGTTTCTTATAACGTTTTGCAAAGTTGCGACGTAACAGCTCGGAGAGCGAATGAAATGTCCACTCAAAAGTCCGACGTTCAGTTGGCAGTTCTCCTTTCGGTCCATCGATGTCGTACTATACGTTGCGATCGACGGCTCCGGGGCTGCGGCACAGCTTCGGGAGAAAGTCTCCGGAGAAAGGCGTGGGCTTCACGTATCTTATCAGAAACATCCAGGAAACTCATTACTTCGGTTGTTGCGTAATCGAGGGAAAAATTAATTAATCGCTTATTATAGTCGATTATTGTAATATTCGTTCAAATAACATGCAAATAGTGTCTAATATTCACTTTTCGAAGCAGAAAATACGTTTAAGAAAGTTAACCTAAGGCCAGGAACACACATGCGTAAAACCCCTCGCCGTAAAAGCTTTTAATCACGTGACCATGATCTTTTACGCTTGAGCAGGTCGTAAAACCAGCGTAAAAGCGAGTTGAGCAGTGTTCAACTTTCCACGCGAATACAGCCGTAAAACAGTACCATCCACTAATCCAGTGATGGGCAAACTACGGCCCGCGGGCCAGATGCGGCCCCCTGAAATGTTCTATCCGGCCCGCGCGACATTATTCCTAATCTGACGAGTAAAAAAGAATACAGGCTGTGGTGGTTGATGCACCACTTAACTTGAGTGTTCGTTGATTATATAAAATAACCGAAGCTTTATATCTCACCATGAAAGTTTATTTACAATCATGTACAAAATTTTGTTTTACACTTATTGAGTAAAAGCTCGATCGGTTACAAGCATGCTTCGGTACAGAACATCCACTCGTCGTGCGTAGCGTAGCCGAAAGAGAGAAAAAGAAATATGGCGGACGGCCTGCACATGTTTTTATAGCGCCACCTGGATTTTCAGATGCAGCGCTAGGTTACAATTATATTGGCCCGCCTAAAGTTTTCTTCTTTTCCTTTGGCCCGCTCTTTAAAAAGTTTGCCCATCACTG